AAGTAGACCAAATCAATATCATTCCTTGAAATTTTCACGGAATTTTTTCCGCACAAAGAGGAAAAATCACAGAAATTTTCAAGAGTGGATGTTAAGTAGTTTTTCATTTAAAAAATAAAGTATGACAGGAAGTCTGCGACGTCGCAAATCGAGATACGTGGTTTGGTAGTTTCACCGTCGATATATGTTTTCATCAATGAAAATGAGAATAATCCATACAGGATGTGCAAACATTTCAAAATCATGAGTTGAATAACGCTGACTCCGCCAGATTAAATATTAGAGCCTAGCACAAAGTGGAGCGGCGACGCACTAGCGCCTACAAACCTAACAGGGATACTTCACGCATTGCGCAACGCGTGAAGTATCCCTGTTAGGTTTGTAGGCGCCAATGCGCGTTTTGCGCTGGCTGCCCGTCTTCCGCGCCGCAACGTGCCACGGCACTTGAAGCAACTATTTCACACCAGAGGTATTGCACGGTATCATACGAAACTGAAGGCGCTCTAATATACTAGAAATGACAGGCATCCATCAAAACATACGAAGCTTTCCTCGTAAAATAAATCAAGATACTACGGCCCAAAAAGAGAGCAGTAGTCCAAAAACTCACTAAGTCCTAGCATCTGTAATTAGTGACGTTTAGCATACACTTTATCGCCTGCCTGTTGCTTAGTCGCCATCGGCTATAAAAAGCTATAAGAAATTGTGTAGCCGGCTATAGAAGCTATTGGAAATCTTACAGCCGGCTGTAGGTCTATGGTATTTTGGAACACAGATTCTACTGCCAATTTTTACCAGAGAGTCCGCAAAAGAAAACACGATAATTATCATGTATAATGTTTTAAGCTGAATCTAAATTCAAGAATATGGGACCTACTGTAAAAGAGTTTTTACCTAACCATGTTCCTTGTTTTCTCACGAAATAATTGACTTCGCTTCATATCGTCTGACTTGATAAATATCGAAAAATTAGAAGAATTCCATTGCTTAAAAATATTTCCGAGTTTTAAAGGTTTTAAAAGGGCAACAAATATCACGATCGAGGATGTGGCAATTTTCAAGTAGTGTAAAATTTTCACGTTTAGTACGCTTTAACTTTCCGTGATTCCGTTGTTGTAACCTAATAATTGAAATAGATTGAAATGCTGCTGTAATGGCAAAAAAAGATTTTTTCATAGAAATAAATTTAGATTTTAAACTACGTACCGACTTTGGAAGGACTTCAAACGTGATGTCAGTACGTAGTTCCTACTACTTTTTTAAGAAAAACAAATTTCTCACCTATTGCTTTAATGTCAACAGTGTCTAGGGTTCCTTGAACATGTAGTTTTTCTCTTTTAAATCCAATATTCGGTTTGACGGTGAAGGTGAAGCAAAAAAGAGTCCAATAAACAATAAATCTGGAATCCTTGCCTGTAAATTAATCAAAATATAATGTAACTGATTTATGGGCGTGCTAATATTGAAACCTAAAATCGCTTAACTTAGCAACAGCTATCTTACGATAGTCGTACAATACTCCTCAGATACCTCCATACCACCCTGTGGCCCAACGCATAAGACCAACGTCACTTATTCAAGTCATCGTGGTAATCGCTTAAGTTGAATGGAGTCCCAAGTATCACATATATTTTTATATTTATTCCTATTCCTATGAAATCAGTAGAAAACATTTCCTCTATAAGACTTCAAGGAATTTATACTTTTTGACAATGCGGTCTTCAATTGAGGACACCACGCCAAGAACAGCCTATAGGAGTATAGGTCGTTATTATGCCCATCTGCTTTTCGGATTCTACTTACCCTGGACTATGCTGTGGTAGCGATAGAATATAGATAGGTAACGGCTCGAGGTCGAAAAACCTTTTTTTTTCCGAGTAAAGTCAGGCCTCTGGATCGATGGGTGCAAGAACGATTTATAAACGGACCTATAAACTTAAGGGCCTAAGTTGCTAGTAACCCCTTTCTTTACTCACTATCGATATTCTTTCATTCTGAGTTAATCATGCGTGTTTAAAATGATTTATACTTCATATTGCCACCAAAATGACTGTTGGGCGTAATAATGGCGTATAAACCGTTTTTTTAAATTAAATATATTAGAGTGTAAACCCAAAATGTACCTCAGAATCTACCCGGCATCCTTCAAAAGAAGGGTTAGGTCACCCAAAAACACCAAAACAGGGTACTTGCATAGAAAAGTCTGCGCAATACATCAAAAACAAAACTTTAAATACGTTCTTCTCAAAACGCGGTTTCCAATTATAGGCTGTTCTTGGTGCGGTGTCCTCAATTTTAGTCAGTAAATAATGTTTCAAGAGCTTTTACGGTAACTTCAGAGAGATTTACAGATCTTCTGAAAATCACTTCTGAAGCAAGCTCAAGGACTTCTGACGCTATGATAATACAGGACCTAACGATTTCTTTAATTTTCGTAGTGAATTCGGTCAAATGCGCTTTATAGATATAGATAATTATATTATATATAGGTAGATTCATGTACAGTTGCCAGGATAATCTTTAAATATCTACCATAACAAAACCTTAACCTAATTTAAAGATTTTTCAAGATAAACGGCTACCCGGCAAAACAAGTTATTTTTTCTTTAGCTTATCTTAAAACATTTCTGCTCCTGTAATTCAAGGATTTTCCTCTGATTTTTCCGGTAAATTTACACACAAGTTATTTTGCCTCTATTTTTTTAGGGCTTGATTATATTTAAGTTACATCTTTTGAATGCATGGAAGTAAGTTGAAAAAAAGAATGATTTATATTTTTAATTCAAGTCATTGACATAGTCACGTAACTTAGGCTTAATTGATGTAGAAAGTGGCAGAATGTTTGTTTTGACTTACCGAACACGTGGAATGTATGGAAAAACATTTATTTTTTAACAGACGAAAATTTCAAAGCTGAAATGGCTTTAACAAGAGCTAACGCCCAACGTATTTAATTTAATAATTCCTCTTTATGCTCTCAAATGCTTTTAAAGAATTGAAAAAAGCGAAAGTTAACGTTTTGGGATAGGTATCTGCTATGCAATACATCGATTCACACTTTTAAGACATACTACATGAGCACCGTTGCAGTAGAATGAACACCTTAATCACGTGCGTATAGAATCATAGGTATGGGTTCTTACGTTCATAATGATGCGTGAATTGATAAAACCAAGCAGTAGGACAATCACCTCAATTGAGTGCAAAAAACACGAATAATTATGGGTCAAGCACAGTGGAGGCAGAATTCTCATAGATGACGTTTTTTTTATATCATCTATTAACTCAAAAGTAACGCATACTGTAACAGCTGAGATGAAATTATTATTCCTCAATAGCATAAAAGAATGCTGAAATTTACCTGAAGTAAATGACTTGCAAACAGGTATCTAACCAAGGATGATTTCACGATGGCAGGAATAGGACACTATATGCAACACTTTAAAATTCAAAATGCATAATTTTAATGCTATTTTATATCCTATGTATAATGTTTATACTAGGATAAAAATAATCAAACCACTCGCTTTGGCTTTAACAGACTGCTGAAGTGTTTTCTCCTTGAGGATTTCACTTTCAATTTTTCGATAAAATTAGCTCTCCTAAAAATATCCCTTCGTGCAATGAGGTTGTGAGGTACCTTAGTTGAATAATGTTTACCCTTAAAAGTCTATGGTTAAGTAATTTTTTTGCAGGCATGAAGAAGAAAATATAGAATGAGGAAAATTAGAATATGAGAAAATATTCTTTAGAGGATATGCGTATCGACAGTGAAACTACCAAACCACGTATCTCGTTTGCGGTGTTTAAAAATCTACGCTCGCACTTTATTTTTTTGAAGTAGACCAAATCAATATCATTCCTTGAAATTTTCACAGAATTTTCTCCGCGCGAAGAGGAAAAAGCACAGAAATTTTCAAGACTGGACGTTAAGTAGTTTTTCATTTAAAAAATAAAGTATGACAGGAAGTCTGCGACGTCGCAAACCGAGATACGTGGTTTAGTAGTTTCACCGTCGGTATGTTACTTCGACCTAATTCTTTGAATTGTAAAAGTTCGAAACGGTCCTATTCATGAATATCGATGAAAGTTTCTCATCATAAACTTTAGCCCAGTAACAAATCTGGTATACTGCTGACCAAAGTGCGAAAAAACGTATCTCCGTTTACGACGTTGCAGAATTTCTGTCATACTTACCTAATGGTTTCCTTGAAAAACTTCTTAACATAATTCATCAAAAACTCCCTTGATTTTCCTTCTCGAGCAGCAGAATATTCTGTGAATATTTTAAGCTATAAAGTTGGCTTTTTTTTCTCCTCAAAAAATTTAATAGAAGCGGATAACACTGCAGTAGAGATACGTGATTTTGTACTTAAACCATCGACAAGGAGAGATAAGAAATCCCTTAACCTGGACTGTAAATAGCGTTATTTTGACCAGAAATAAACAACCCACCGGGATTTTGCGTTTGATTTGTGCGCAAATATAAACTAAGGAACGCATCTAAACCAGAATACATAGCGTTAACGTTCCAACGAAGTTGAAGCGTATTTATGGATAAGAGCGCGACAACTTTTAACGAGACAATTTGCCGTTAAAACTTGCTGTAGTCTGGATATTACGTCAACGAGAGAGTAAACGATAAATGCTATTACGTCTATTGACACGTCGAAATCTCACTCCGTGGTCATGCGACAAGGTGCTGCAGCTTGTTGACAGCTTGGGGTTATTGTTAAACAAAGTTCGGTAGAGGTAGATCAAGTATTTCGTGGTAAAAAAATCTCGAACGTTTGACGATGCATGTTTTCGACTCGAGTTAGGGATCTTGGACTTTGAGCTTTTTACTTGCTCAGCAACCAAACTGTCTGTAAAAATAGAATTATTCTATTCTGATCGTGAGTGGTGTATTGAAAGATCGCACATGAATAAAGGGACCTCAGTTCTCGTGAAATTTCAACACAAATTTTTTATGGTGTGCGAGTATTCTGCGAACATTTTGGAATAAAAATTTGGAATAAAAAATGCATATTGATTTACGCAGCCATGGAATTGAACCGCAAACGTGACGTCCTTAAAATGCTTGTGACTGAGTCAGACAAAATTTGCCTTATGGTGGCGGAGTGAGGGATGAGACACCAATACCACGTTTTAGAGATTTTGATTCTGCATTATTTAGCACAATCGGATTCACTTTGAAACGCACATACATCGCTTTTCAGTGCAGACTAGACATTGCTTGAAACTTTGACACAAAGCTCATGAGAGTATTATAAAAAGAATTGAGGTGTCCACTTCACAGCACTATCAGCCAGACTCTGTCACATTTTTGCTCCAGACTTCATCCTTCCAATCAGCTCTTCTCTAAGTTATGGATGTGAAGCGGCGTCCATGGATCGTCGAGGTTGTCCCCGGTGAAACGTCTATACCAAGGGCGCGTATACAGATGACACTTCTTGGGACCCTGTGGATTGTTTTTAGGCGTCCGACACTCGGCCTTTGTGGCAATCTCGTCAATGACCCGCTCCTTCCCCGGTAGGAAGTTCATCAGCTCCATGGCTAACTGACAGTCCTTGAGCCCTGGCAATTTGTCATAGTATAGGTACCACCAGGCGTAGGGGACGCCCAGTGAGAGGTTGGCGACAGGGGGTGTTAAATGAGATAAGAGATTGTCAACTCCCTGATGACCTGTGGGAAGACCGAGCTTTGTGGCGATTAGGCGTCGCACAGCGCCAAAGAGCGCTATAAAAGCGACACACACACACATATATATATATATATATACCACCAGCGGAAGTGGCTTCTTGACATTTTGGAGTCGTCTTTTGCACACAGGTTCTGGGAATCGATATCTCGCAGCTTTGCCCGGGCCGCCGGGTAGTACTTGCTGTCGTCATTCAGTTTTTTTGCGTGTACCTAAAAAAAAGTTGGCAGTCAGAACGTGACGGAGAAAGAGAAATTGCGGCTTTCATTCTGCCGTGCTAAGGAAGAACGCCGTATGAACATTCGAGAGTTGCCAAATTTTCTAGATAAAATACTCATACTATAGGAAAACATAGCCAAGAAGTTCCAAAAATTATAATTAGATTCAAAATTAAATTTTTTTGAACTCTAAATTGTTGAACTCTAAAAATTCTTAATTTTGACTCTAATTGTAATTTTTGGAACTTCTTGGCTTCGTTTTCCCCGCGAAATGTTGTGGACCCATGCAGCACCATTTCTCCACCTTGTTACATATAGTTCGGGCCACTTCTTAGTGTTTTTTTTTCATTATTGTAGGAAAGTTATGAATATTTTCTCTCATATGTTCAGGACTTTTCGGCGGAATTACGGGCAAAATCTGAAAATCTGAAAATTGGGAGAAAAATATTCATAAGTTTATCAGGAAATTCGTGTTTTAGTAAAAGCAATTTGGCAACGCCTAAAGGTCCATATGGCGTTCTTCCGTGGTAGGGAAGAATTGTGTTGATACACTCTCAAAAATGTTTAGCGGCTATGATGGTCCATGATCGCAAGATCACATCAATATCTAACATAGAATTGACAGTAAAATTGTCAAACAAACTGCCAAACTGCCTAAAATTGCCATACAAATTGACCAAATCAATCAATTGACACAAATCACACCAATGGGAATTTCATTGTTATAAAACCTACGCTATTTAATGCAATCCGCTGTATCGTCCTGATGACACGTTTGTGTTTATCTTAAGACTCAAATGCCATAACAAAGTTAAGTTTATGTTTAAATGAAATTTGTATCTCTGCCAGAACGGGGAACTCCAGTTTCAACCTAAAATTTTAAACTCTGTTAAAATTAGACTCCACGTTGCTAACATGTTTATTGTGTTGATGCTTTATTATGCATTGTGCTGTACTAGGATGGATCTGTTTAAGGCTCAATTAAAGGGCTTGGAGGACAAAGCGCAACAGTGCATTTTTAGACGTATTTCTTGACTCGTAGCGAATTCTCGAAATAACAAAAATTGCACGTATGCGCAGGGTCGGACTGGCTCGCATCTGAGGGCGTAGACCCTTGGCTGGTTAAAGGGGCGTAATGTCATATTTCCTGATGGGCCATCTCCTTCGTGGAGAGGGGCTCAGAAAATTTTGGCAAAGCAGCATAAGTTTACGCTATTTTCAGGTTCAAAGTTTATTAATCGTACAGAGTAAAAATTGTAAAATTGAACGTATTGAAGTGACCGACAGACTTCTGCAATTACAGAAAACAAAAACAAGCAGGAAGCTCCAACGCATTCGCGTCGGAAAGCGGCTCTGGCGACGGTAGTTGTTACGCGTTTACGGTTTCCTTGGTAACCTTTGTTTGCTATCAGCTGATGTCGAGTAGTATGACTAGGAAGCTCCAACCACGGCATTCTTCGAAAAAAGCGCGAAAACTTATAGATTTGAATTTTCAAATTTTAAACGTAAAGTACATTTTTTCCAGTGCGAGATTAAAGCACAGACCCGTTTTAAATTATTGACAGTATCGCCATGATTCCAAAAATACACTACACAACATAGCATTCGCTCACAGGAAAAAGATATCAATTAAAATAAAATCAGTCCCCCCTAAACAGCAGAAAATGGCGCCGATTCCCATCAACCAACGCGCGGTCTCTCCAATGTAACATGGTCCAATGATACTCCCCAGCTGGGACCGTCCGGAATAGCAGCTCTAGTGCAAGCACCAGAGCCGCTAAAATTAAAGCCACTAGACGCATCCAAGCACCATTATTTCCATAAGAACCGTGTCAGTGCTGCGGTTTACACGAGCTTAAGACAGACGTGGGTCTAATAATCCATCCTAAAAAATAATCAGGCAAGAACCTGAAAAAAGAAGAAAGAACGAGTATCAACGCAGCCGACGATAAGAAAGATGTATTCGGGCCTCTTTTTTAACTTTTATCCCGAATCTGAGCGACACTTCATTGGCATCATATTGCAGGGCATTGAGAACTCACGCTTCGCGTCATCGCGCCTTCAATTTTTCAGACGCAGCACGGACGTCCATCAAGTACGAATAGTTGTATCTCTGCGCCGTCGTTAACACGCATCCTTTCCCTCGCTTTATTTCCATATTGTGTTTGTTTGCGTTTGTCTTATTCGTGATGGTGCTTCAAGCGCTACGTGAATAACACAGCCGAAGGTAGGAGAGATGTGTTCGGGCCTATTTTTTAACTTTTCTCCCGAATCTGAGCGACACCTCATTGGCAGCATATTGTGGAGCTTTGAGAACTCACGCTTCGCGTCATCGCGCCTTCAATTTTTCAGACGCAGCACGGACGTCCATCAAGTACGAATAGTTGTATCTCTGCGCCATCGTTAGCGTTCATCCTTTCCCTCGCTTTATTTCCATGTTGTGTTTGTTTCCGTTTGTCTTATTTGTAATGTTGCTTTAAACTAGAGCAGAGCATTGCGAGTTCACGACTCACGCCATCGCGTCTTACATTTTTCATATGCAATGTGGACATCCATCTTGCGAGAATAGTTGTATCGCGTTTACCCTTTATATGTCTCTTACTTTTGAATTTCGAAATAAATTAAGGTTAAGTTTGCTAGAGATATGCTATGATATGTCCAAATCACTAGTCATTTTGAAAAGGAAGAAATATGTTTAAAGGTCTCTCAAGAGGTGTTTAAAGTGTGCGTATGTCTAAAAATCGAACCGGCTATCGCTTCTACGGGAGTTACACATAGAGAATGAAGGAGGGGGATGATAAAGCGCCTGTATGTCAACGAAAAGGTGACAATTTCACAGAAAAGTGTTTACGCTTCAGAAAGTAGTTCTTGGACCTGTGTTCACCACTATGCGTAAAAGCACCTCCCCTCACTCCTAACTCTCTCTTCTTCCGTTCATTTAAGACATTTTCCGCATTTATTCTCGGTCGTAATTTTTTTCTCTTCTTATTTTGCTATCTGTCGGAGGGGCGCGTTTTTGGCGCGCCAAGGGGGCGTATCTGCCAATGGCAAATTGGCCTTATGGCCAGTTCGAGCCTGCGTATGCGCTTTTTCCTCAAAGCCCCTTAACTATTTCACGACTGTATATCTGCATACCTCTTTTTTCCATGTTTTCAACCTTCCAGTATCCACGAAACACACTGACTGTATAAGAAAATAAATCACAAGAATAACACGAGTAAATATAATTTTCATAGCTACAGTGCGATGAATCTCTGCTTGCAACTTGGCACGATTTAATTGACACGTGTAACTACCACATCCCGAGTGATCACAAGCTGAAAATTTAGCTATCATGATTACTAACTCTCATAGGATTGCAAAAAAGAGTTTTTTGGTTCAATTCCATTAGCCTCGACCTTGAATTACGTCAAAGGTTTTTCTATTTCCGGTACACTAAAATTCTAATGCGTGTATCGGTATATCCCACTGAAATTTCTCAGCTAGATTAGTCAAAAAGTGGAAATTCAAACATGACGCTGCATAAACGATGACAAATGCACATAGCTTCGGTAATCATTTCTTATCACAGTTTAGCGTAAGAATCTTTTAAAGAACTTGAACCTACTTCTATGACCAAATCCTTACGCTCCAAGCTCAATTTCACACTCGCAATTCCGCCCATGACTTTTCCCCCCAAATTTTAATTCATTTATCTTCATCGAAATTATTGAATGTTATCAAGCGTGTGCATGTAATAAACCTGCAGTTGTTTTCATTATATGGACATATTTATGCTGAAAGGAGCGATAAACGGGCGGGAAAGAGGGAGTTTGCTCGTTAGTTGAGGGCCGTAAGAATAAATGGGCATTATAAAGCGCCAGTGACGTCAGCGGCGACGACTGAGACGCACATACGGGGACGGGAACGCTCTTTTCACATGCCCACGGCTCATGAGCTAGCATATTTTGACGCTTAGTTCCTTTTGATTTAATGTCAAATCCCACTTTTCTATTTTGCCAAAAGGAATCACGCTCACATTTACATTGCTTTTTATGCAGCTCAAATGAGCACAACCATCTTTCCCACACGTCTCTAGTTCCTTTTGCCATAATTATACGTCCATAAGAAGCGAATTTTATTTAGAGGTTCGGTACTACTTTTGTGCCCGAACCTCCGAGCTGCCACTCTATTTGAGTTCGGAACTTCCGATTTGGTGACTGACAAATGCAACGTTGGTGCGTGATTTTGGTACCACCTCGCGAGATGGTTCTAAAAAAGGCTTAATCGAAAACCAACGGATCTGATTGGTCGAATCTGGTAAAAACGGTGTCCAAGTGTCCATTGATAAGACAAACCGGAACAGAACTTCCTAAAGAGATTTGGATTTTTGAATAAAATTCGCTTATAGTTTTGAAGTTCCTTCACTCAGGAAGAATTGAATCAGTGAGAACGAAAACACACCAACTCGGTATCTCAAAAATGCTCAATTTTCATGTATGAGAGTCAGTTTTCAAAAAGGTCATTGAAGTCAACGCATCTGTTCCAACTTGAACCTTTAAAGTGTCCTTAAGTACTTGTCTTTCGGCACCAAAAATATTTTTCTTGTGCTTAATTTTTTAACTACTGTGTAGTTTTGCGTGTGTCTTAATTATTTTCATTTTTTCGAGTTGGTGTGTTTTCGTTCTCACTGATTCAATTACACTCATCGGAAATATTAAGCGATTTGAATTTCTGCTCCTCGATGGCGAGGCAACGTCGAATTTGAGTGCAATCCATCCACGCAAGATGACAAGTGAGTGGCAATGGGTATGGTAATTATGAATAAACTTGTGATCAGTAGTACAAAGATGGGCCCATGACCCAATTTCCTGGTTTCTTCGCCACGCCTGATCGCCGCTCCAAATGGTCCACTCGTGCACTTATCAACGCTCGCGCTGTTCGCCCGCCGCTGCCAGCGTGGGCAAAACAGCCACCTTGCGCCTCCAAATCTGTCACCAAACCGGTGATTTCTGCTTTAAAAAACGAGCTTTCGATATAGTTTTGTCATCGCTAGCCTCGAATTTTACCCGCAGTTTCAATGTGAAACTTCTAAATATGTCCATCATTCTCAATTCAATGCGAGTCAAACATTTTACCTTGTCAAGAACACAATATAGTAAAGGTGAGTTGATCGCGTTCAGTGCGCAAATAAACAAAAATACCAGCAAATTATCATTTGCTTTAGGTCGGTTGAAATAAATATCCACATTCTGAAATGACTCGATTTTCCAAGAGTATATGGGCTCCTAGGAGTTTGATGTTTGAGTGGATTCCTCTGCTTGAAGCATTCTAGCGTCAGGATATCAGCGAGATAAAGAGTAAATATTCAATTTTTTATCTTATTTTTCTGTTATTTTGACAACGAAACTAATATGTTGGTGAATTTTATAAATTACTTTATCGTCTGACATTAATTTTGAACTTCAATGCAAACAGGAGTACAAAATTCTGCAGGTAGGCCAAACAGCACATGTGAAATTCAAACTTGAAACGGCGTTTTATTTAAAATCACTACAATGTTTCTTTAAGGAATTTTATACCGGGATAAACACCTCTCATTTATTTATATGTACTTGTAATGGAAAAGCATTAACACTACCATATACAGCATCATTCACCTGTTAAGAGAAAAGTTACATAAAAGTTCAATCCTTGTTTAAGCCCTGTAGAGTTTTTCGCGCATGGTATTTCAACCACTCAAAAAATCGGAACAGACACTTTCAAAGAGAAATTCAAACTGGAAGTGCCTAAGCATCGGAATATTGGACATAATCTCCTAAAATCCTATTTTCACACTTACTTAATCATTGACAAAAAAAGAGGGAGGAAAGGTGAAATTGTCACGCCTATAAGCGTAATATTGTTGGCTTACCCTCATGTGTTTTTGAAACTCTAAATAAAAACTGAAAGTATCCGCACAGAAAATATTAAATTCTATATCTGAAATTGAACGGTGAATTTTGAAGTTCAAATAATTCTAACTTCCATTTGAGATTCAAAAAGAGAATTTTCGAATAGCGAGTTAAGGCATACCTACATGTATTTCTAAGTATGACCATTTTTGGGTCAAAACTTAAAAGCAAAAGTAGAGTTTCAGAAAAAATTATGCATTGTTTTGATTTCTGCTTGCTTCCAGGATATATTCACTTTAATGGTTCCTTGATTGGATGATTCCCGTATGTTTTTCATTCAAAATTTTCCTGGAGTAATGTTTTTAAGGGGGTCTCATTACTTCAACAACCGCATAACAGAATAAGGACAACCGAATGCGAATATTTCACCTTTGAAAAGGCCCATAAATGGACATAGGAGTATGCATTTCGTCGTTGCGTCTAATGTCAGCATTGGCACTTTGGCAGAGTCGATGCATGACAACAGTGTGAACCGCCTCGATCGCAACTCGCAGCCAATCTGCTATCCTCGCACTACGACGTAGAATCGGGAATTCATTTTAATTTAATGGCAACATTCAACAACCTCACCACTTGACCATGAAATAGAAATTCACTGTGATAATCGGAGCTGAGGATGATCTAACGGACCCCCTTCCTCCATTGTCGGAGCCTTTTGCTTCACTTCTTTCGGCGATGACTCCGATTTTCAGAGCAGGCATACGTGATGAATTTGAATCACTTTGCGCGTGGTAAGGTTAAGCGAGTTGTAAAAAAAAATGGAAGAGACCAGGAGAGAAAACGTTTCGAGCTGTGCTCCATTAGAGTACCTTCATACGGGAGAGTATTGCCATCTCAATCGTTTTACTACAGAAAAAGTATGCTGCTCTCTGATTGGTCGGCTATTATGGAGCCCCAAAGTTGGACCAATGTAAACAAACCCCCAGCCCTTCCGTTCCTGGTTTGGCCCAATGTAAACATACAAGATGGCGACAAAATTCTACAAAATTCTAGACGTGTTTTTGGGTGTGATAAAAATTTTTTTACATTCAACTTCTGAATTGAGTTTGGATCGAACTTTGATGAATATTTTTGCCGAAAATTAAGCGTTGAGTGTGATTATCATTCATTTCTCAGCCGATAATACGTGTTCCTCTGGGTCAGGTTGTTTACATCGGGCCAATTTTGGAGTCTAAAACTGATGAACCAATCAGAGAGCTGCACAGAGATGGCAATACTCCCCCGTATACTACCGTGCTGAGAAAAAAACGCCGTATGAGCTTCCAGACGTTGCCATTTCTCTTTCAATAAAGAATAAATTTACTGTGAAAGTGGTGAATATTTTTCCTCGATAATTTCAGACGATTTTGTTCGCAATTTAATCTAAAAGATATGGAAATTTCAAGGAAAAATATTCATATCCTTCCTCAAAAATAAACATTTTATGGGTGGGAAATTGGCGACTCTCGAATGTTCATACGACGTTCTTCCTTAGCACGGCAGTATACAGGTACTCTATGTTCTACCAGGAGCTCATCGATTGTAAAAAGTTGACAACTATCATGGCTACCCTGGTAAAAATTGGCAGTAGAATCGGTGTTCCAAAATACCATAGACCTGAAGCCGGCTGTAAGATTTTCAATAGCTTCTGTAGCCGACTGTACAATTTTTTTTAGCATTTTATAGCCGATGGCGACTAAGCAACAGCCAGACGATAAAGTTTATGCTAAACGTTACTAAATACGAATCCTAGGACTTAGTTAGTTTATGGACTAACGCTCTCTTTTTGTGCCGTAGTATCTTGATTTATTTTCCGAGGAATGCTCCTTAATTTTGAAGGATGCCTGTCATTCTTAATATGTTGGAGCGCCTTCAATTTCCTATGATACTGTGCAATACCTCTGGTGTGAAATAGTTGCTTCAGACGCCATGGCACGCTGCGGCGCAGCGGGCGGGCAGAGAGCGTGGAACGCGCATTGACGCCTACAAACCTAACAGGGATACTTCACGCATTGCGCAATGCGTGAAGTATCACTGTTAGGTTTGTAGGCGTCAATGCGTGTTTGCGCAATGCGTGAAGTATCCCTGTTAGGTTTGTAGACGTCAATGCGCTTTCGCGTAATGCGTGAAGTATCACTGTTAGGTTTGTAGGCGCCAGTGCGTCGCCGCTCCGCTTGTGTTAGGCTCTAATATTTAATCTCGCGGAGTCAGCGTTTTTCAACTCATAATTTTGAATTGTTTGCACACTCTGTATGGCTTATTCTCATTTTAATTGATGAAAAAAATATGCTTTAAAGGGAAGTATAATGTGTGTTTTGTAAAAATTAAGGTAGTTCGGTATCAGACCTAATGATTTCCAAAGCACACGAATTTCTACACAA